CCTAGGGATTTTTAGCGGGGTTTTTTAAGGGTATTTTAAGGATAATTTTAATGATCGGCCTTCTTAAATATTTCCTTTTAATTCGGTTTTTAATATAGATATCATTGTATTTGTATTGTGGTTTTTATGAGGCTGTTAGCCGCCCTGAGTCCCATGAGGAGAAGGGCGGGGTACAAATTAAATTAATAAATAAATAAATTAATAATAAATCATAAGATACAAACAACAAGTGATAAATCATAAGATACCAATAGGAGAAGATAGTAAGAAAGATGAGAAGATGAGAAATGAGAAGATGAGAAAGATGATAGGGGCAATACAGCCTACTACATAAGTAAATATTTAAGACATGCTGTATAAGTTAGGTATTTAGCAGAATGATGGCACAGGGGAAAAAAGACTATCTTTGGGTTTAGTTGTTTTGGCATGCAATGTCCTATAGCTGTGGTGGCGAACCTATGGCACATGTGCCAGACTGGACACACAGAGTCCTTTCTGTCAGCATGCACGCCAGAGGGATGCTCCCCTCCCCCTGTCCACGTGCGCCTGACTAGTGGGAACTGGAGAGGACAGGGAAACTGAATCCATCAGTGCTTTCGCAGGAATAGCTGCAAGAGCTGGGTGGGGAGAGGGGAACCTATAAAAGGAGATTTTGGTGGGAGTGCAGCGAGAGAGCGAATGAGCGAGCAGACGGCCTTTGGAAGCGATGGTGGCTATGAGTTTGGAGAAGACAAGTAGGATGCGGTGTCTGTTTGTGCTTTGCAGAAGGCTAGCGGGGGAAGGAGGACACATAAGTTTGGACTTTGGAGAAAGGGAGAGAGAGAGAGAGAGAGAGAGAGAGAGAGAGAGAGAGAGAGAGAGAGAGAGAGAGAGAGAGAGAGAGAGAGAGAGAGGAGGGGAGGGAGAAGGAAGGAAGGAAGGAAGGAAGGAAGGAAGGAAGGAAGGAAGGAAGGAAGGAAGGAAGGAAGGAAGGCTGGACCCACCAGTGCCACTGGGCAGATGCGTGACCAGGCCTGCCCAGGTGACGCCGAAGCCAGACAGCCCTTCTGTGGGAGCACAGGGGAAGGGGACATGGCTAACCCCAAGCACCATGCCTGCCTCCCTTCAGGATCCCTCGATCTCTCCCACCCTCCAGGCTGGGGCTGGTCAGATTCCCCCTGTGAGTAGTTCTGCGCCCATCCTTGGCCAACCCTCCTCCTCCATCCTTCTCCTCCTTGTGCGAGCAGACCATGGGTTACTTAGCTGGGTGGCACCTCTCCCCACATGTGTCCTCAGACGGAGGAGCTGGGCAGCCATGGCTCTCGCTTCCCTCCAGCCTCCATCTGCTTGAGGCTCGACCTCGGTACACCCAGCTGGCCGGCAACAGGCTGGAGAGCACGGGATGGTGGCAGCCGCCCTGGGATGAAGGGTAGGTGGGGTGGGCGTTCCCGATGTCCGCAGGGAAGGACGTGGCATGGAGGCTCCGCACCCAGACCAGACCAGCCCCGGCATGGCATGGCATGGAAAGCGAGGCAGCAGCTCCACATGCATCCCCGTGCACGAGTGCGCCCCCACCCTGCTAGGCTAGTGGAGCCATAGCAGCTGCCTGCTTGCATTCTTCTTTTGCAGATGCCTTGGATGAACTCCTTGGATGAAGTCCAGGCCAGGCATAACTTGTCAATAGTGGGAATAAGAATGTACCAAATGTAAGCTGGGGCCCTAGAGCCAAATATGAGTGTCAAATATGTGGAGTGGGGATAATCAAAGTGTCCAAGCACACACATCTTCACCATATGACCCCAGAGTGCTGCAATGACTATAACTTCAAGCATCAGTTGTAAGTCATTTTATTCAATACTGTTAAAATTTAGAACAGTCACCAGATGAATAGTGGTAAGCTGGGGATCAGGTGTATGTTCCAATCCTAAAGAGAGAATTGTATGTTGGATATTTACAATATAAATGTGCTTACAAAAAAGATTGGTCTTCTCCAAATTCAGAAAGTTGGAAATTCACCAAAGAGGACATAAGAATAAATTAATCTTTGGGAAAAACAAATTAGATACATTTCTAATTGCCAAATACTCTGACATCATTTTAGCTTATTTATTTAAAGTAGAATCCAGGGATTTATTTATTTATTTATTTATTGCTGTGCTGTTTGACCATCATAAGATCAAATCTGTGCTACCCATATATTAGATCATTGTTAATTCTTATCAAAGAGTGTATCTCTTTTGAGAAAGACCTACTTTTTTCTGGTCATTAAATAGGTTGTGTCAATAATCAAAACTAAAGAAAACACTTTAACTTATTATGCAGAGAAAGATTTTATTTTCCATTTCCATTCATAAAAAAAATGACACACATTGTTATACATGCCAAGGATATTCTATATCAATAAATTTGGCAGAGATAATAAACAAGCCCAGTTTTAATTCTTAGACGAAGAATATTCATTCCATTTCACCATAGAAATATATATAGCCACAATTTAATAGTCAGAAATGTTTTCTCTTTACAAGTAGCTCTTTGCTATTGAGCTCAGGCCTCAACAAAATAATGTAGCATTTAGGGAAAAAGATACATCCCAATAACCCAGCACTAGAAGCTAAAATGGAGAAGATCTCCACAGCTACCATATATTTTCCTTTGGTACTCACATAGGTTGGAACAAAAGTTAACCAAACACTACAAAACATCAACATACTAAAGGTGATGAACTTGGCTTCATTGAAGGTGTCTGGCAAGTTTCTAGCTAGGAAAGCCACCATGAAGCTGACCAAAGATAGAAACCCCATATAGCTCAAGACAAGATAAAACATCACAACAGATCCTTCATTACATTCTGCTATGATCTCTTCAGTCATTGATAGCATGTTAAGTTCTGGAAAGGGGGGAGAGGTGACGATCCATGCTACACAAATGATTGTTTGAATGAAGGAACAGAAAATAACAATTAAGATGGACAATCTTTTCCCCAACCATTTTCTCATGTCAGATCCTGGTTTGGTGGCCATGAATGCTGCAATGACCATGATAGTTTTGGCCAATACAGAAGAAACAGCCACAGAGAAGATAATACCAAAGACTGATTGTCGGAAGAAGCAAATCAGTTTGAGGGGTTTTCCAAGGAAAAGAAAAGAGCAGAGAAAGCAAAGCAGAAGGGAGATGAGGAGCGTGTAGGTGAGGTCCTTGTTGTTAGCTTTAACAATAGGGGTGTCTTTATACTTGATAAATGTTCCAAGTATGAACACAGTAATGATTGAAAATAAAAAAGCAATCATAGCTAAACTAATTCCTAAAGGTTCTACATATGTTAGGAAAGTTATGGTTTTTTGGATGCATCGAACTTTATCCTTACTTGGATATTGATCTTCTGGACATTCAGAACAGGCAATCACATCTGAAAATAAGAGCAGAAATGAGAGAGAGGGGGGGAGGGAGGGGGAGAGAGAGAGAGAGAGAGAGAGAGAGAGAGAGAGAGAGAGAGAGAGAGAGAGAGAGAGAGAGAGAGAGAGAGNGAGCATGAGGCATTGAATCTAATTGTCATGATTGCTGTAGCAGCATGTGAAATATATAATTAAATTAGATTATGTCAGTATTCTTTTAACTTGTCCACTTTAAGAAGTATAGACTTCAAATCTCAGAATTATCACTATGGAATTTGGGAATTGAGGTCCACAGGTATTAAAGTTGCTAAGCTTGGAAAACACTGGATTAGATCATTAAAAAAGAACCAAAATTAATTTATTGAAGTGGGAATCTTCTTTGTTGGTTATAATTGTGATCAAATAGTACCACATTTAAAATATGGCATAAGCGTCCTAAAGTTCCATCCTTTCAAGCTTTCCTTGTCCAGTTTTTAGGTATTAATGCATATGAGTAATAGGATCTAGCAGTGTTCCAAAAAAATCAAGTTGATGGACATAACTGTTTGACTGAACCTGTCCCATTTTTAACTGTGAGATGAAGTCCTGCCCATTTTTTACCCAGTGTTTCATATATTACATAAATGTGAAAAAAAGGATTTGACTTCAATCATATGGTCAAATATGGTCTTTTTTTCTCCTTTGGGCACTAATATAGAGAAAGACTATTTTACTGATTTATTTGTATGTTTATCAAATTTATATAGCTACTGAGCTATTTCAATAAGTCTCAACAATAGAACTGTGGTAAGAATGCAACCCCCAATCCTTTTTTACTATGCTCTCCAAATCACAAGAATAAACTCAGGAAAAGAAATACAGAAACAATGTTTCACTCATGAAGTTTCCTCCGGCTTGGAAACAGACCTGTTTTTTCTTCTTATAGAATCATCTCAATAAATCTCTGGTAACTTGGGTACCCCAGGACTGATATAATAAACAGCTCTTGGGGCCTTTTCAGAATACCAAAAGGGATGGAGTAAATCTAATTTTAGAGGAAAGAATGTTCTGTATGTTGGCTCTATAGCAGAGAAGGCATGTCTCTTGGGACCCGGCAAGTAGCTGAGGGTATCTGTAGTATGCTTCTTCTTCAGATCTACTGGGGCACACTCAGTGGTGGGATTCAAATATATGAACAACCAGTTCTCTGCATGGATGCTGGTTCCGGAAGTCTGTTCTGGGCCTGGGCCTCCAAGACCCAGAATGGACTTTTGGAAGCAGCAGCCACACACTTCCGGCAGGCCATTCTGGGCCTGGGAAGGCTCTTCCAGGCCTTCAAGGCCCAGAACAGACTTCTGAAAGCGGCATCCATGCACTTCCGGAGGGCCATTCTGGGCCTTGCAAAAAAGGGCTAGGGCTTCAGTGGGCACCATCCAGTGGTGGGATTCAGCCGGATTGCCAAACTGAACAAAAAAATACCTACCGCTTCTACCAAACTGGTGCAAACCGGCTGAATCTCACCACTGGGCACATTGCTAAAACCTAGGAGAGGTTGTCCTTCAGAAAGCCCCATCCTAAGTCATGAAGGATTAAAATCAGTACCTTTGCTTGCCCCCAAAAGTAAATTGGCAGTTAATGCAACTCACAAAGCAAAGTTATAACATGTACTATTACAGGTTCCCTCATGACTGCCCACACTGTTCATTTGGTGCCAGCTGAAGCTTTCAAATAATCTTCAGGGGAAGCCCCATGTAAAGTGCATTGAAATAGTCCAATCTGGATGTGACTAGGGCATGAATGACTGTAAGCAGGACTTGCAAATCAAGGAATCTGGAAAAGGCAAATCCAGACACTGGGGAAGGATGTTTACAACATCCTAAATTTGCACTGAGTGGAGATTTATAATTATGTATCATTATTATACTAATAATCATCCAGTGGTTTCATGTAGATGTTAAAAAAACCGAGGGGCAAGCACTAAACCCTGTGGCACGCCATATTGTTGATCGTAGAACCTCTCCTCCTCAATGATATGAGAAGGATACCATAACTAATGATATTGAAAGGCATGGAAAAGTCAAGTAGAGCAAAATTGGATGCAACACCCCCATCTTGCCCAGTGAAGATTTTTTCCTATACCCTAGTTTGAAACTCAACTGAAAATAATCTAGACAATCCACCTTGTCCAAGGTCCCTTGAACTTTTAAACAACCACTTCTCCAATAAATGGAGGAGAGATACTGAACAAAAAATTATCAGATGGGTTCTTGAGGAGGTGATGAATAAGGTCTCTTTAAGAGGTAAAGGAACAACTTCTTCACTCAAATAAAAATTAACCCATTCAATCCATCAAACATCACCTCTCAGGTTGCTTTAATGAGATAAGGTGGTCATGGATAGAGCAGGTAACCAAGCTCATAATCCCAAGGACCCTGTCCACTTTCTCAGCTCCAACAGGTTCAAACTTTTCCCAAATAATTAGGCATTCTCCCCAGAAATCTCCTCTGCATGTGTGACAAGGCCAGTATCCAATTGAGAACAAAAAAGCAACTTTATCTGTTGCACAATTTCTTCTCCGTGCTTTCTTATGCAGGACAATCTGTTCATTGTAAGACCAGAACTAAATTGTATTGTCCACATATCATATATATACATACATAGACTGTGGAGAACTACTGGCACTTCACTCCCTTAATGTCACAAGGTTGGCCTTAATAGCAGCTGTAAAACCCCTGTTTGGTTGGATTCATTCTTGTTGAGAACTAGATGTCTTTCTCCCATCATCACGCCCATAAAACACATGGACTGCTGAGATCCTTGAAAGGAGAGAGTTTGCATATGTATGATTTGTTTTAGGACCTCTCTCGTTTTATTCATTTTAAGAATTATTTGAAAGGTTTTCATTGTCGTATTACCTAATCTTATGTATACCACCTTGCAAACTCTTCCATTATGAGAATTGTTATTAGAATCAATAAAGCAAGCAAATCAGCTACCTATTTAAATTAAAGTAATTTACTAACTAATTAATTTTGCAATGAAAAAAATTAATATGTCACAGAGTAGAGTAGCCTAGAATAGTCTAGACTAGATTACAGTAAAACATAATTTACCCGACATGTTTGACATCTTCCCATCAGAACATGGATCACAATCATAGCAACAAAATTTATGCCCTTCTTTTTTTTTCTTCTGAAAGCCTGCAGGACAGGGATCATTACACACTGAGCGCGGCAAGACCTGTTGACAAACCAGGATGGAATCCAAGATTTAAGAATAATATAGGACAATCATTCTCTCATCTCCCTGCATAAATAGAGTAACAAGTAGGATCATGAAATGAAGTGCTACACCTGGAAATCTCCCAAACACTTTCTAAATATTTCACATGGTTGCATCCAAGCTATTCTTACCTTTCCCCTCTCTGTATTAACTGAAGAAGAAGAAATAATTAAAAAAAAAATACCTGCAGTGATATTTAATACCAAACTCAATGCAAGCAGACAACACATAAAAATTCACCCCATTCCCCCTAAGCATGCCTCTGGGTATTAAGGGATTAAAGTTTACAATACTCTTCCTACTCTTCCTAGTTGATGGACTCTGTACTGGTCAACCATAACAGTAGGAGTCAGTTACTCATTTTTTTAACAGTATCTTTTGTACAACTAAGTCAGAAGCTTCGCAAAATTGCCCATCTTCCCACATTTGCCAATTATAATTCCCCCAGAATAGGAAAAACAGTCAAACTCATTTCTGATTTCCAGATCCTTCATTTCAAATAATAAAATACCTCAAAATCCATACCCTCTTAAAATATTTGGGCCACACAATTAAATCTTCATGAATCACAAATTCATCTCCATCATGTGCTTTGGGATCCATCTTTCCAATTTTCACCTTACGGTAGGAATTGTTTGGAAACATGACCACATTTGTAATATCAAATCCAGAAAGCACTTCTCCATGATGGTTGATGGACACAGTTTCTCCAAATGTATTATTGAATGAAAGCCCTTGAAGAAATGAGTGAAGCTAATAAAAAATGAGAGGGAACAAATCAGTTGAAACTGTACAGTGGATTACATCAAACATCCTGAAATCTATCTTTATGAAAATCAAAGTTACTTAAGTCCCACTGATTTCTGTCAGTCAATTTAAATTACAACCATCATTAAGCCACGGCAGGTTGCACAAATCACAAGAAAGAGAGAAATGTTACCTTATTAACATCATTATGGGCTGTATTCCTTAAAACTAGGTTCAAAAGCAAAATAAGCAAAATAAGCGATGTCATGCCTTAGCATGACCAGCAGAGTTAGATGCTATCAAAATCTAATCCATTTGAAGACTTTATATTGGGATTGAGAAGCAAGCATTTTGCTGCTTATTTTGTCATCAAACCCATCCTAAAATACATATGGTTTGGCAGTGGAAAAGATAATTTCCTTTAAGTTCAAAGTGGAGGAAGAAATGGAGTTTTATAGAAGAAGAAGCTACTTAGTTGATAACATTCTTGTGGTTCCCTCAGGTGTCATGGAGAATAAACTCACAGTCTCTTCTGGGTGTCAGCTCTTCAATTCCTGCAAGACTGTTATCATATCTCTCCTTAGCTTTCTCTTTTTTTATATAAATGCACAGTTTATGTATCTTCATAAGATTTAAACTCCTGGCCTCTCATCAACTTGTCACTCTTTTTTGTGAAAGCTGCTTTGTAAAGCAATGACTTTGTAAGGGAGAAAAGAACCACTCTTAATGTTTCATGTTCCTCCCTTTAACCGTCCATCTCAACCTTCTTTTGCACAAGTCTTTGGCATCTAGGAGACCTCCATCAGATTGGTGACCACTAGGGACATACTGAAGTCATTCCAAGCTGGATGTCAACAAATAGGCATTTCCACATTTGTGTCAACGCCTTGTAATACTGAAGATCTGCAACCAATATGCTGGGGAGGGCTGAGAAGAGACTTCTGCAGCACCTGGTCCATGATTCAGGACAATGTGAATTGCTTTTTGCTAGTGAATCATCACTGCCTTAGTTGAATGAAGAGAATCAACAGTCAACATCAACATCTTTGTAGAAGTCAATGTCACTTTTCACAAGACTTGTATACCCTACTACAGGGGTCCCCAACCCTTGGTCCAGTCTGTGGAATGCCAGCAACCTATCCATACAATAAACAAAGCTCCATCCACAGGATGCAGGCAGCATGCAAAACCACATCCCCTCCAGTCTGTGGAAAAACCTTTCTCCACAGAATCAGTCCCTGGTGCCCAAAAGGTTGGGTGCCACTGCCCTACTACATCATCACTAATCTGAGAATGTGGAATAAACTCAGTATACATTTGCATAGTACTAATTTGCTCCTGGCATTGAAGGTGTTTCATTCCAAGTTATTACCTTCCAGGTACCTTGATCTTGATGTTCATCCCTTCTACTTTGCGTTACTCTTTTGCATTTAGACCTAAGTAAGTTCATGTTGTGAACAGCATGTGCTACAGCATAGACTGCACTGTAGATACTGTAACTGTGGCCAGTCATCTCAAATAAATGCCTGGGAAGGTTTCTTAGATCTTCCTTCCCAGTACATGCTTCATCATTGTCCACTGGCGTATTGCTGCCTAAAAAGCTACAATCAAAACCTTGTTCCCAGAATTCTTTCAACAAACTATCTCGCTGGGTCCAAAATGGTTTTATTTTACCAAGGAATTCATTGAACCCTGGCAGTTCATTAGAATGAATAGCAAAGGATATTGCTCCATCAAACATTTGCAGATCTGATGGTCGATGAAGACTTGTTAATGTTAAGTCCATTTGAGCTGTCAGAATCCACATTTTTCCACAGGTTATCACTAGAAACTTAATGAACAGAAATAGAAGCATGGCTGTGGTGTTTTCCCCATAAAAGATGAATGCATTGGCTATGGGGTGATTCAAATAAATATTTACCATTTGCATTAAATCACCTTGAAACATAAAAAAGAATGCTTGTTTAGGCAGTCTCTCCACAAAGGCAGAGCAGATCCTATTCTCAGAAAAAAGTGGGTCCAGGGCTTGGAAGAAATTGTCTCCACTGTCATCATCCAGAATAAAAAGGCCAATCCACGTCCATCCAAAGTGCTTCAGCAAATAAATAATCCCAACAGTCTGAAGGGTTTCTTTGGGACCCATGTGGTAAAAGGAAGCAGCCATCTTTGTCCCATGCTTCTCTGGAGCAAATGACCCATAAGACAGCTAAAATACAATGTGCATTTTGTTGGCTATGGTTGGAATGTCCAGAATCATCTGAGAATGATATTTTTTTTTCTTAAAGAACATGCAGATACATATGTTTTTCCAAGCTCTTTCCTTGCATGGGCTTCCATTTTCAATTATAAAGAAAGCTCTGATCATTATGTCTATGGATATTCTCAGTCATCCGTGTCATAGTTATCCCAAAGGTGCTTTTTCATGAGGCAACTGGACTTCCCTGTTTTTCTTTGAACATGTTTCACTTCTTCAGCTCTGGTGTTGCAAAAAAATCAATGACCTTTTTCTTGTAACTGCTGGTGGGATATTTCTTCAGAGTCTCATATGTGGCAGTGTCCTTCAGAAGACTGTTCACCTTGGCCTTGTAGTCATCTGTGTTCAGGATGACTGTGCATCTTCCTTTATCAGCTGGCAGGATGGTGATGTTTGGGTCTCTTCCTAGGGATGTCACTGCTCTCCTTTCTTGAAATTTCAGGTTGGAAGGGGGTGTTTTGGCACTGGCAAGGGCTGCAATTACCTTCATCCTTAATTGTTCTGCCTCTGGTTCTACTCGTTTATTGTTTCTGATGGCTGACTCTGTGACTGTAAGGAGATCTACAATTGGTAGCTGTTTTGGTGTTAGTGCAAAATTCAGTCTGAAGAAGCTTCTTGGATGAGAAGTGAAACATCGTCAAAGAAAACAAGAAAGTCCAGTTGCCTCCTGAAAAGGCACATTTGGGATAACTCTGATCATTATTATCATTATTCACCAAATGGTAATAAATGGAACCATACCTTATTTCTTTGCTAGAGTCACATCCTGCCTTTTCTTCATGCACAAGCATATCAACTGTAAGCAACCCCTAGGCTTGACTCAGTGAGAATGATGGACACAGTCAACCATGAGCTTCTATAGCTGAGGATGAACATACTCCTATATTAGCAACTCTCGGCTTCTGCTCCCTCTTTTGGACACCATTTTTACAGACTGTGTTCAGTCTTGTGCATCAGATATGGTGTAATTGGAACTCCCAAATTTCATCAGGCCTTTTAAGAGCATTGGTGGTGCAGTGGTTAGAATGCAGTATTGCAGGCTAATTCTGCAGATGGTTGACTGCCAGCGGTTGGCAGTTCAATTCTGACTGGCTCAGGGTTGACTCAGCCTTCCATCCTTCCAAGGTCAGTAAAATGCTGAGTCTGTAAACTGCTTAGAGAGTGCATAAATCATTATGAAGCAGTATATAAGTACTATTACTATTGCAATTGTTGAAAGAAAAACCTTCATCAGGCTCCAGTCCAAGCTGGGAATAAACAAAATGGAGACTGCTTTAGAAAGAAGGTTGTAGTTTATTGAGGAGCAGAGCCAGACAGAAATGCGGCTCTGGGAAAGTTGACTACATGTAGCTGGGAGTGGTAGGTTTTTATATCTTCTTGGGCTTTTGTGTTTAGAGTTGTTTCCTGTTCCTGTGGCATGAACTGTGACCTGAGCTTTTGAGTGTGTCCTTTTTGGTATTCTGATGGTGGTGGGTTAATCCTATTATGTCCTAAAGGTCATGATTTTAGAGTTTGGGTGGGGGATGTAGATTTTAGGGGTCTTTGTCTTTCCAATCCCATCAGCTCTAAGCTTCCTGGCTCCAGTCTTTCTGAAAGGATCATCAGATCTGCATTTCTATAGACCTGGTTTCTGCTTGGGGCAGAGAGACTTGGGGGGCAGTTTCTGTCTTTAAGATCCTTTGGGAAAATATAATATTCTGCCTTTTTAATATTCCCAAAAATATTTCCTTCTCTGGGGGGGGGGTGCTGATTGAAGCAGAATTTAACCCCTATTTGGAATAGAATGTCCCCCTTCCCTTCAATTTTGTCACATGGATGAGTTTTCATATATGTTGATACATCTATCTTACCTGTGGAATTTTATAAAGACTTACAATATCTGACATGAAGAAAGAGATATCAGCACCAAATCCACCAATAAGGGCCACAATGAGATTCTCCTTAATATCACATCTATAGTTGACAATCAACTGATCTGCTCGGAAGAGCAGCTCCAAAGTGGAACGGTAAGTCAGCCGGGCATCAAAATAGTTGTCACATATGAAAAATCCCAGAGTAATATTAGACAAGAGTCTCGGGTTTGAGTTAATCTGTTTCACAGCAAATGCCAAACTCAGGGAATGCTGATACAACTTTAAAACAGCACTGAAAAAATATATGAGAGATAACAGAAATACAGAAGAATTGAAGAGAGAAGAATTTGTTCAGTGAAGCAAGAATCATAGCCCCAAAGAAACTTGGACATTGTGATAAGCATTAGATATAAATACCTATGAGGAACATTTTTGTGCATCATGAAACAGAGGTCTACAACAGGACCAGCTTGCAGAAAATATGTTCTGCAATTTAATTATGAAGCTAAAAAGCAAGAAGATTCTTATTATGTTTGGTTGCACAGCAGTAGCTATGCTGGCTTCCATCACTGCCATCTTCTCCTGGTTTAACTTTCCTCTGTCAAGACTTTGATTTCTTTGCCTGGGCTGACCTTTGCAATTCTTTCAATTCTGTTTCTGTATTCTTTGAATAGATTATTTCGTATTATAAATTATAATCCTATCCTATAATCCCTATCCAACAAAATGAGTTTCAATATGGAGAAAAGCAAAGTTTTACATTTAGGCAGGAAAAACCAAAGGTGCAAGTACAAATTGGGCAAGACCTGGTTTAAAAACAGTAACTGTGAGATGGTCCTTGGAATCCTAGTGGATGATCACTTGACTCTGAGCCAGCCAAAAAAGCTAATACAATCCTGGGTATTGTACTGTAAACAGAGGCATAGAATCAAGATCACACAAAGTATTTGTACCACTTTATAAAAACCTAGTAAGACCACACCTGGAATACTGCAGCCAATTTTGGTCACCATATCACAAAAAAGATGTTGAGAGTTTGGAAAAAATTCAGAGAAGAGCAACTAAGATGATCAAAGGCCTGGAAACTAAAACATACGAAGAACGGCTGCAGGACTTGGGTTTGGCTAGTCTAAAGAAAAGAAGAAATAGGGGAGACATGATAACAGTGTTCCAGTATTTGAGGGGCTGCCACAAAGAAGAGGGGGTCACATTATTCACCAAGACACCAGAGGGTATGACAAGAAACAATGATTGGAAATTGATCAAAGAGAGAAGCAACTTTCTGACAGTGAGTACAATTAACCAATGGAACAGCTTGCCTCCAGAAATCATGGGTGCTCCATCCCTGGAGATTTTTAAGAGGCTAGACAGTCACTTGTCTGAGATGGCATAGGTTCTCCTGCTTGGGCAGGGGGCTGGACTAGAAGACCTCCAAGGTCCCTTCCAGCACTATTCTATTCTATTCTATTCTATTCTATTCTATTCTATTCTATTCTATTCTATTCTATTCTATTGATCTGCTAACCTCTGTTTTGTTATTTCTGATTCTGGATGTTGTTCTTTCCAGAACTGGTGAATTCATTTCAAATCTCCTCTTTTTTGTTGGATTTCATTTCTAATAACAGATTCTTATGTCTCTGTTTTCTATCTCTGTGTATTTACAAATAACTTTTCTTCCAGTACTTCTGCAACTGCTGGTCCTGATTGCTCAATCAGCAGCCCTGTGTCCTGTAGCCCATTTTTCATCAGATATCCAGGAACTGCAACATCTAGCATGATCCTTGTTAACCCAGGCATTGATTGATCTAGAATGAGTTTCTGTAAATTATAGCTGATCATATTTTTTATGGGAGAGACACACTTTATATATCTCCTCTGATGAGATGTATCCAGTATGTTTCAATCTCTGGCATAGGTCTTTCTCTGAACACCTAAGCCCCACAACCACATGGTGGTTGGTCATACAGTCATACAGATGTTTAGACTGGATTTTGCATTTTTGTCTACTTATTGAATCCTTCCCAAGGACCTGGAATAGGCATATGTTGATGTCTGATGTTGTTAAAGGTATTGTTGTAGGATATAAGCTGTTCCAAGTAAAGATTCCTTTTGTAACTGACTGATGGTGATTTTTGTCAGTGTTCATGATATTCAGGTTGTGCTCCATTTGTTTGATGTTTGCACTGGAGGCATCTATTATTAATTGGTACTACCTTTGCTTTCTTTTGCCTCAGACGTTCTACAATATTTCTGTTTGCAGATCTTACTTTTTGTGATTTTCTCCAATTCTTTCTCTTCTATTCTGCTATCATCTGCTATTCTTGCCATGCTCACCAGCCAGACTTTTTTTTTGTCTTTCCTATTGACAATTGTTAACTATGATATGTTATGTGGCAGGTGCCTGTCTGTTTGAATTCTAAAACTCCAGAGCAATTTAGCTTCTTCATTTTCTATTATATTTTTTTATTTTGGGATCCCACCAATTCTTACTTGCAGGCAAATGATACTTTTTGCAAATCTTCCAATTATTAATGCAAGATCCAGTTGGAGCCCAGCTGAACTTTTTGAGTTCATTCTTACAGTGTATTATTTATTCCTTCCAAATTTTGTTTCCCTTTCTCCAGAAATAATATTTATTATGCTGCCTTTCTTGCAATCCTTATATATAATTACATAGATATCACCACTGCAGACGCTTTTGGTGAACATCTGTGACAAGTCAAACAAACTCACTTTGTTTGTTCAGAGAGCACCAAGGACCCCTCAAACCCACTTTCTTTAAATTGTCTATGCTGCTCAGAGTTTCTTCTGTTTAAGGAGAAACCTTCAGATCTCAGCTGTCCCAATGTGGATTTAGAATATTTTTATTCCATGATTTGATGCTGAAATAGATTTTTATCAAGAAATCTGAGAACTGTAGACTAGAATGAGAAGTCAAAGCTTATCTTAGATTAAGGCTATGTTGGAAACTTCTTTAAACATGTCAAGTAAGCTACATGATCGATTTTTTACTTTTTTCTTTCTCCAACCTGGTAACTGCTTTAAGGGTTAAGATTG